AACCCTTATATAGGCCTATATAGATCCTGAGATTTTTATGAGGGTTTTTTTCAAAATATTTTATGGGGCTTCTAAAGTTACACATAAGTTAGGCCTAAATAGAACATGAAAAATATTAAGGGTATTTTCAAAATCCATTTTCAGGTGCCACGTAAACCATAGTTTTGACCAAAATTATAAATCCTTGGACTTCTAAAGGCATATTTCAAAATCCTATCCTAAAATTTCAAATCCTTAAATCCTACCTATCTAAAATTCTTATATCAAACTCATACTACCTAAAATCGTCCCTTTTTTTTATATAAAATTATCTTCACCCTTACCATTTTTTTTGACGTTTCAATTCTAAGATCAATGATGATAATATGAGTTAGGAAAATTAACCTCTTAGAAAAGTGCATCATCAACATAAAGTTAGACATTGTTGGGTTTTCTGTAATATAAATGTGTTCTTGATTGTTTCCAAAAAACTGCATTTTAGAAAGAGTCATTTATATTTTTATAAATATAATTATAAAATTTTTGAAGGATCAATATTTATTGTGTTTCGAAATTTATAATAAACCTATTTATAATTTATGAATATTACTTTAGAATAATTTATAATTGGGATTATTATTGTCCCTCTAAATTGCATAATCACAATATTTTTGTGCTGAATCAAAATTTCTTAATAGGTATAAAGTATTGGCTTTAAAAATTAAAGTTTAGTAATTACCTTTGCCTTAATAATACTCTGCTTTTTCTGGGTTTTTCTGAATAGCTGAATCATAATACTCCAATGCTTCTTCAAATCTATTCATTTTAAATAATGCAATCGCTAAACAAATATATACATCATTAAATTATACCTTTGCCATTATAAAAATCTGCATTTTCTGGGTTTTTCTGAATAGCTGAATCATAATACTCCAATGCTTCTTCAAATCTATTCATTTTAAATAATGCAATCGCTAAACAAATATATACATCATTAAATTATACCTTTGCCATTATAAAAATCTGCATTTTCTGGGTTTTTCTGAATAGCTGAATCATAATACTCCAATGCTTCTTCAAATCTATTCATTTTTTTTAATGCAATCGCTAAACAAATATATACATCATTAAATTATACCTTTGCCATTATAAAAATCTGCATTTTCTGGGTTTTTCTGAATAGCTGAATCATAATACTCCAATGCTTCTTCAAATCTATTCATTTTTTTTAATGCAATCGCTAAACAAATATATACATCATTAAATTATACCTTTGCCTTTATAAAAATCTGCATTTTCTGGGTTTTTCTGAATAGCTGAATCATAATACTCCAATGCTTCTTCAAATCTATTCATTTTTTTTAATGCAATCGCTAAACAAATATATACATCATTAAATTATACCTTTGCCTTTATAAAAATCTGCATTTTCTGGGTTTTTCTGAATAGCTGAATCATAATACTCCAATGCTTCTTCAAATCTATTCATTTTTTTTAATGCAATCGCTAAACAAATATATACATCATTAAATTATACCTTTGCCTTTATAAAAATCTGCATTTTCTGGGTTTTTCTGAATAGCTGAATCATAATACTCCAATGCTTCTTCAAATCTATTCATTTTTTTTAATGCAATCGCTAAACAAATATATACATCATTAAATTATACCTTTGCCTTTATAAAAATCTGCATTTTCTGGGTTTTTCTGAATAGCTGAATCATAATACTCCAATGCTTCTTCAAATCTATTCATTTTTTTTAATGCAATCGCTAAACAAATATATACATCATTAAATTATACCTTTGCCTTTATAAAAATCTGCATTTTCTGGGTTTTTCTGAATAGCTGAATCATAATACTCCAATGCTTCTTCAAATCTATTCATTTTTTTTAATGCAATCGCTAAACAAATATATACATCATTAAATTATACCTTTGCCTTTATAAAAATCTGCATTTTCTGGGTTTTTCTGAATAGCTGAATCATAATACTCCAATGCTTCTTCAAATCTATTCATTTTTTTTAATGCAATCGCTAAACAAATATATACATCATTAAATTATACCTTTGCCTTTATAATACTCTGCATTTTCTGGGTTTTTCTGAATAGCTGAATCATAATACTCCAATGCTTCTTCAAATCTATTCATTTTTTTTAATGCAATCGCTAAACAAATATATACATCATTAAATTATACCTTTGCCTTTATAAAAATCTGCATTTTCTGGGTTTTTCTGAATAGCTGAATCATAATACTCCAATGCTTCTTCAAATCTATTCATTTTTTTTAATGCAATCGCTAAACAAATATATACATCATTAAATTATACCTTTGCCTTTATAAAAATCTGCATTTTCTGGGTTTTTCTGAATAGCTGAATCATAATACTCCAATGCTTCTTCAAATCTATTCATTTTTTTTAATGCAATCGCTAAACAAATATATACATCATTAAATTATACCTTTGCCTTTATAAAAATCTGCATTTTCTGGGTTTTTCTGAATAGCTGAATCATAATACTCCAATGCTTCTTCAAATCTATTCATTTTTTTTAATGCAATCGCTAAACAAATATATACATCATTAAATTATACCTTTGCCTTTATAAAAATCTGCATTTTCTGGGTTTTTCTGAATAGCTGAATCATAATACTCCAATGCTTCTTCAAATCTATTCATTTTTTTTAATGCAATCGCTAAACAAATATATACATCATTAAATTATACCTTTGCCTTTATAAAAATCTGCATTTTCTGGGTTTTTCTGAATAGCTGAATCATAATACTCCAATGCTTCTTCAAATCTATTCATTTTTTTTAATGCAATCGCTAAACAAATATATACATCATTAAATTATACCTTTGCCTTTATAAAAATCTGCATTTTCTGGGTTTTTCTGAATAGCTGAATCATAATACTCCAATGCTTCTTCAAATCTATTCATTTTAAATAATGCAATCGCTTTTATAAAATCCAAATATTCCACAATCAATTGAAACTTGTCTTTTTTTTACTCATTTAACACATCACTTTTTTTAAGTTTTTTATTCAGTTTTACATTGCTAGATTAATTAAGGTATATTATATTTTTCACTAATTTTATTTTCTAATATATATTAATTCATGTACACACCTTTTATTGATTTTAAAATATCCACAACCCTTTTATATTTTTATTTTGATTCCAATTTATTATTTAATTAAGTAATTTTTTACCTTGAATCATCTATTATGCTTTTTATTATTGACTTGACCTATTAAAATTATGAATTCTTTCAAGTGAATAAAAATTATTAATGCATAAATTGATTGATAGATTTTTATTAGATTCCCTCACCGATTCTTCATTTAACTTAATGAAATTCATTATTGTTGTCTAAATATTATCTAGAACAAATTATTAAATTAATTAATTAATAGAACTAATTCTATAAATTTAGAAATTTAGAATGCAAAAAAAATGGCTAATTGATCAATGAATCTTATTAAATTTTATATTCTCTTCTTTTAAAGTAGAACTCCATCTGGCTTATTTTTTTATAATTAAAATTTCATTCAGGTCAATAAAATATATAAATTGCAAAATTATTTTATATTTATCATAAATCTATTATTATTTTGAATATCAATTTTTTTCATATTTATTCAACAAAAATAAAGTCAGTTTAATAAAGACTTTTTAAGGATACGAAAAAAATAATAATTAAAAATATGAAGGTAAATGTATTTCTACTCATTTTTTATTTTGTTTACTGAAAGAGACATAAAGTTGTAATTCACTTCTTATGTAAAATAGCAACATAAAAAAATTACCCTCCCAAAAGATTTTAATTCTAATATCCTGAAGATGGCATGCTCTCATCTTATATATATCTACACTATTTGCATGAGTAAATTATTGGGTTAAATTGGGAATATATATAAATTCTTAGAGTTTTAGTTGTTAATTTTTAAATTAGTATGTATTAAAATTTAATAAAATTCCTACTTTTTCACAATTCCTTAAAAATAACGTCGTTAAAGTGGATAAATCTTTGATATACATGAAATAAAATGAATAGCTGAATTGCTTTACAACACTACTAAGCGCAAATCTGAACTAAACTATTCAAGTTTATATTAACATTATCTATTATAAATAACATGTTAGTGATATAATTATAAACAGGTATCAAAATAAAAAATTAAACTAAAGATGACTTTATAAAAATAGTAGGTATTTTTCTAAAGAAAAATAAAGAATTCAGAATCTTTTCTTAGTTAATATTACAATAATTTAAAAATTCCCTACTTAATTGAAATAATTAAGTTTTTTTATTCTTAATTATTTACAATAATAGATACAGTTGACTTTGTATTAAACATCTACCAAGAAATTAACTCAAATTCATAAGGTTTCCAAAATTTTTCTGAAAAATCCTGTGAGAGTTATCAAATAATGGAGCTTATATATAAATATTGTGTTAAGATTAGAAATTGGTCTCATACAATTTCTTTATGAAAAAATTCCATCATAAACTCTTATAACAATTTTGAAACATTTAAGTTTGAATCTTTTTGGTTCAAAATTAACTATTTAAAGTCAATTTGAATATTTCTTCTTAAGTAAAAAAATAGATAACTATTAAATATGTAATTTACTTTATTTTTAAGGTGATTTTAAATAAATTCAGGTAAATATTTGAATTCCCAATATTTTGTTGTATTTATTAATTTAGAGAATTTCAAAAGATATCCGAAGAGCATAATCTTTTATTTATATATAAATGATTAATGAATCCTAACAATAAATTTATTTGAATTTACAAATTAGATGGGGGTTGAGTGATTGTTATAATTTATCAAATAATATAGTTCAAAGAAAGGGATTGACTTTTTAGACAGCAAGTAATTAAAAAATTGATAATGGTCTATCGTCGAAAATTTCAGAAATTATAAAAAGATAATAAATAGAAATGCTTGTAAAGGTTGATTTCTTATAAAACTAATTTCTTTATCTTCAATTCCATATTTATTCCAAATAGAGAAATTAGTTTTATAATGAATCAAAAAATATGAGCGATTTTATAAAGATTTTTTTATTGAAATATAGATATATTATATTAGCGTTTACGAAATCCCAGAATATGCAGACTATAACAAAGATATAAATTAATAATGCATATTTTCTTTGCAATTACATTAGAAAAGATAAAAAGATTTGAAGAAGCATTGGAGTATTATGATTCAGCTAATCAGAAAAACCCAGAAAATGCAGAGTATTAAGGCAAAGGTATAATTTAATGATGTATATATTTGTTTAGCGATTGTATTAATTATGATGAAGGGATTGTTAAATATCTCAGTGAAATATATGAGATGAAAAAATTCAAATTATAATAAATAATATTAATATATTTGTATTCAAAATGAGTAAAAGTTATTCGTTCTATACAAAGTGTGATTAAACACTATATTTTAGCTTTATTATTTTGGAAACAGAACTATCTATTAAAGGCATTTTCATATCCTTTTATTTTTTAAAATATATTTTACTCGTAAGTCCACATGTAAAAATTATTCGTTTTAACTTAAATGCTCAATTCTAATGCTTATTTATATTAATAAAAACCATATCTTATCATTAATGGTTAGCTTCTATGTTAAAATAATAATTAATTATTGAGATCTGTTGTTGCAATAAATATCACAAGAAATGAATTACTTCCATTATTATTAGAAAAATTCTGAGAGAATATTGAGTTAAATACATTGCTTACCAAACTTTATACTATAAGATTGAAAATAAGAATGAAGAAAAAGGATTTTAATTTAAGAGAAATAAATAAATAAAAAAAATATTATGTAAAAAAATGAGCTAATTTTTTTTTTTTTCATTATATAGCTATCATTTATTTTGCTATAACATTATTTGTAATATTATTGAATTTTACATATTCATTTAGAGGTTGAGCAGATGTGCTTGTTTTTTAATCTTTCTAGCAAGATTACTTAAATTCTTAGATTGATATAAACTCTGTTTGATAAAGATATTAATTTAGCCATACAGCATAAATCAAATAGTTCTTAATTTAATCTTAATGAAGTATTCTTCAGAATTTTTTAAGAGTAAATATAATCAGATCATTTCCTATAGCGTATAAGAACGACATTAAACATATTAATTTAAGTAGTATCTTAAGAAAAAGTAAATTCACTTGTTTTTATTTACATAAAATTTCATTAGATATTGATACATTCAATTTAAGTTAATTACAGGTTTTTATAGTATTGTGTTTATTATTATTTTTACCTTATTATAAGTTTTCTTAAGTATCATAAGCAGAACAAGTCACAATAAAACCCTAATTAGATATTATTTTTAAATTATATTTGCGAACTTGCTTAAAATCCATCAATTCCTGAAATTTTAAAATCCAAAATAAGTAATTTATAGTTTTGGCTATTTTTCAAGCATTTTTTGTTTGACATTTTCAATCGCNGAAAAGATAAAAAGATTTGAAGAAGCATTGGAGTATTATGATTCAGCTAATCAGAAAAACCCAGAAAATGCAGAGTATTAAGGCAAAGGTATAATTTAATGATGTATATATTTGTTTAGCGATTGTATTAATTATGATGAAGGGATTGTTAAATATCTCAGTGAAATATATGAGATGAAAAAATTCAAATTATAATAAATAATATTAATATATTTGTATTCAAAATGAGTAAAAGTTATTCGTTCTATACAAAGTGTGATTAAACACTATATTTTAGCTTTATTATTTTGGAAACAGAACTATCTATTAAAGGCATTTTCATATCCTTTTATTTTTTAAAATATATTTTACTCGTAAGTCCACATGTAAAAATTATTCGTTTTAACTTAAATGCTCAATTCTAATGCTTATTTATATTAATAAAAACCATATCTTATCATTAATGGTTAGCTTCTATGTTAAAATAATAATTAATTATTGAGATCTGTTGTTGCAATAAATATCACAAGAAATGAATTACTTCCATTATTATTAGAAAAATTCTGAGAGAATATTGAGTTAAATACATTGCTTACCAAACTTTATACTATAAGATTGAAAATAAGAATGAAGAAAAAGGATTTTAATTTAAGAGAAATAAATAAATAAAAAAAATATTATGTAAAAAAATGAGCTAATTTTTTTTTTTTTCATTATATAGCTATCATTTATTTTGCTATAACATTATTTGTAATATTATTGAATTTTACATATTCATTTAGAGGTTGAGCAGATGTGCTTGTTTTTTAATCTTTCTAGCAAGATTACTTAAATTCTTAGATTGATATAAACTCTGTTTGATAAAGATATTAATTTAGCCATACAGCATAAATCAAATAGTTCTTAATTTAATCTTAATGAAGTATTCTTCAGAATTTTTTAAGAGTAAATATAATCAGATCATTTCCTATAGCGTATAAGAACGACATTAAACATATTAATTTAAGTAGTATCTTAAGAAAAAGTAAATTCACTTGTTTTTATTTACATAAAATTTCATTAGATATTGATACATTCAATTTAAGTTAATTACAGGTTTTTATAGTATTGTGTTTATTATTATTTTTACCTTATTATAAGTTTTCTTAAGTATCATAAGCAGAACAAGTCACAATAAAACCCTAATTAGATATTATTTTTAAATTATATTTGCGAACTTGCTTAAAATCCATCAATTCCTGAAATTTTAAAATCCAAAATAAGTAATTTATAGTTTTGGCTATTTTTCAAGCATTTTTTGTTTGACATTTTCAATCGCTTGATCATATACTCAATCAACTAATTTAATATTTCCTATATATCATTTTAGTGCTATTTAATTAAAAGGAATATCATTTACAATAAGTTTAGGTACAAGAAAATCTTCATTTCTACAATAATCAGATTGATTAATTTCAAATTCTGTTTTTTTATTATTTAGCAAAGATAGATAGAAATATATCAAGCTATTTTTCTAAATCATTTAATCTCAATGTAGTATTTTACTTCTTATGAATCTCTATCATTTTCTAAATTTATTATCATAAGTTTTAAAAATTTTATTCTGATTGATCTGCTAAATGATTAATCTTTTCGCTTTATTGATTTGGAAAATGAGAGGATAATAAATTCCTTTATTATTATAAGTCCTCTATTTGCATAAAATTAATATGTAAATTACATAGTATTAACAATAAATTATATCCCAGGTTATATTAGATTGTTACCTACCAAGAGCACTGTTTTATATTAGTAACAAAGATTAATATTATTGTAATCTTCTTGTCTAAATAAATATTAAATATAAAAGAAAAGGTTCTTGAAATGATTTGCGATGTTGAAGAATCTTAATGATATATATATAAGGCCAAAGTTATGATATTAAAGAAAAGTATTATCTTAATCTGAATTATTCTTCATTTAATTAGGATATTCTCATTTTTCTAATGCTTATTAATAAAATAACGCATCACTAAGAAAATATTGTTTAACTAAGATAAATTCAAATATGGAATAAATTCTTTTTAAGTAGACCTTAAATCTATTTAGAATATAAATCAAAAGTTTACTGTATTAATTAATTTGATATTTAGTAACTTATGAGTTTAGAATTAAAACAATTATTCATTAATGATTGTTTATTAATATTAAAATGTGTTAAAAGCCAAACTCCTAATAGAAAGACAAGGAAATGATTATACAAAAGTTGAGGATAATTTAATATTTTTTGTAGGCATTTGGAGAAAAAAAGGAAACCATTTTTAAATCTAAATGCAATAATAAATATAAGATCATAATTACAAGTTTGCATAAATGAGGAAAAAAGAAGGATTTAAAATTATAAATTATATCAATTTTCATTTGAACATACTATTTGATTTTCTCTTGTAATTAAATGTTATTTCCATTAAATTTAAATTTGATCAAATCAATAAGAGTTAGACTAAAGTGATTTATCTAAAAAAATGCTAAAATTACAAAATTGGAAACCTTAACAATAAGATAATAAGATATTGATAATTTTATTTTTTGAAATTCTCTCATCTATTTTTTATCAATTATAGAACATAATAGCAATGAAAATCCAAATTTATTTTCAAAAGGAAAATTATAAAAATAAAATATACAAAAATTTGAAAAAAATAATTATGAAACAAGGTTTATGGAATTTCTTTAAAATACTATTAGTAAGAAGGATTTAATTAAAAAAAATTAAATATTAAATCATGAGCTAACAGAATTATTGACATAAATTCAATTCTCTGTTATTTGAATTGTTAGTACCTGGCTGTAATACTGGTAAAATAAGGTTTCTAAAAATATTTTAGAAAAAAAGTAATAATAGTTAAAAACATAATTAATAAAGATTTCTCAAGTTTTCATTATTGAAGATAATGATAGGATATAGTAATAAAAAGTTAGATTAGGTTTTCTCAATACCGATAACTCTAGACCTAACATATTTAGAGAGAGAAAAACTGTAGAGATTAGATGTTATAATTTTAATTAGGATTATTATTACAATACTCATTTAAATATTAATAAATCAATATAGATTTTTCTAAATGATGATTTATTTAAATTATTATATTCTGAATATAAATAAATCATATTCTTAAGTAGTATCCAGCTTCTGTATAACTTGAGTAAAGTTCTAGAGGGACATTTAAATATATTAGTTGTGCAAGTACAAGAACTGGTAACTTGAGATTTTACAACCTTCATGTGTAGTTCCTACAAGACCTGAACATACCTTCAATTTGCATGATGAACCATTCCTAAAAAGTTCCATCTCTTCCAAGATTATTTTTGAATCAAATTTCTATTTTGTTGTCACCACAATTACCCTTAGCTATACATACTTTTCCATCAGTAATACAACCATCATGTGCTAAGCATGCATTTTAATCATTTAAGACTGCATCTGAACATTGATAGAATAATTAGCATTTATCAGTTGGTAAGCATCCATAAACACTATTTACCTTTAAAAAGTGATGCATTTAAAACTTTTTTAGCACAAGGTGCAATTGGTATACAAGTTTCCCAATTAGTAGCCCCACATCTATCATAATCATAGCAGGTTGAAATACTCTGAACCCAAATACAAGGTCAACTTTTGAGATATTGCTTAAACACATTCTGTTCCATTTGCTTTACAGCCACTCAAATGTGCATCACATTCAGCATCAGTCTTTCCACTCAAATCTTGTTAAATTAATTCTCTAAATTTATTATTTTCCCATCCACACCTTCCCAATTCTTAAGTCTTAGTATCCCTGACATATGAGGCATTCTTACAAGTTGATTCAGTCCTATATCCAGAAAAAACTGTCATTCTAATACTGTGGTAGTACACCCTTTATCAAAATCATTGCATTATTTATGAGTGTTGATAATTACAGATAGATCTTCACATTTTTAATCCCCATACATTACCAAGTACGATGCTTTTTAAAGGAAACCTTATCCATTTCGTATGTTATGAATGTATTAACACAATTAGATAGACTTGTTCCACTCTATGCAGAACATGAATTCTTTTTAGGTTCACATTGATTAGCCCAAGCGGATTTTTTACATGGTCCTTTAATTGCAATATAGTTTGAGGAAGTATTTAAATCATCTTTATTATCTGTTCCTTTTAATTTTTGGCACTCCTTAGCATAAGTCTCAAATCCAATGCAATTCTAAAAACAGTAAGGTAAATCAGTGACTTTATATGGTTTCATTCCATCACTTCATATTTATTCTCAGAACCTGTATATTTGAGCATTTTCTCTTTTAAAAAAGAGGATGTTTCTGTAGCATTACTGATATTGTAGCAATAATCTACTACATGAGACCCAAAAGAATTTACTACAAACATCTCTTAATCCTTTGTAAGCGGAACAATTAGTTGATTTTCAACACATCCAGTTCCTTATGTTACATAGCCATTTAAATAGCCAGAACATAGAATCTACAGTAAATGTAATAAAAATTATTATTGATATAATTATTAACAACTTGTTTAGCGACATGAGAAAATTATTTAAATGCTCACATTATTTTTTAGTTCCTATATAATCAGAGCAAGGTTTATTTCTTGGAATGCTGCACAATTTTAACCATTAGATCTAACAAGTTTTCATATAACTATTAAAATCAGAAGCAGTATAAAAGTTGGCTATTTACATTTTCTTTCAGCATATTAAGTACCATCCCATTTGCATTTATTATTATTTGAATCAGTAATTCCTACACACCATGCTTGTTTTTCAGGAATACCTGCTAAATCTCATGATATAGTATCTAATTCACAAGTAGTCTGTTGATGAAATTTTGTTTAGTAGTTATGCAACCGTCAATGTTGCTTGAACATTCAGTTTCATCTGCATCTTTCCAACCCTTGCATTTAGTTTCTTCTCTACTAGTTTCTTGTCCTTATTCTGGATCAGTTGTACCATCATAAATAGTACAAGCACCTATTACATCATATTTAACTTTAAATATAAGTACACTCTTTATCGGCTGCATCTTTTAATGAATTGCAGGTAGCTGACTTATTAATACCATCTGTAACATCATAATTTTACAGGCTGCTAATTTTGGAGGACAAAAGTCTGCTTTGAATTTAATACCATTAGATGTTAATAATTCACAAAATGATTTCTTATCTATCTGTTCCGATAGAAATTTAGCACATTCACTGTTGTATTGTAGCAGGTTCCTGAAATATGAGTGTATGTCTTTCCAGAAACTCCTAAATCACATAAAATTTGTAATGTTGAATTAGAGGTATCAAAGCAATCATAATCTTTACAGCCTGCATCTTTTGTATCAGCACATTTCTGAATGAATGATCTACTTTGTTAAGTCAATAACCATATTTAACAGCTTCTTCACCTGTTAGTCCATTATATGAATAGCATGTATCTGGAGAATCACATTTATCAAGAGCAAAAGATTTATCTCATCATATGTGCAAGGTTTTCCATCTTAAGTGATAGATTAAAAGAATTTTTTTTTTCCACTTAGTTAAGTAACAGCAGAAGGAATATGAACTTGGAATATCCTCGTATGTTGCAGTATCAAAATTGAGATCTGTTCCAGCTTTACAAAATATTTTTTTGTTTTGCCTTCTTAAACTGTCCAAAAGTTGACTAAAGTAATAGCAACACCATCCCTTAAAGGGATACCTGTGTAGGAAAACTAGTGCAATTTGTATCTGCATTAGCTTCACAGTTATCTTTGGTAGTATTTCATACTATATCGAAATAATGAATTATATGTGTCAGTAGTAGCAGTTTGCGGAATGGTTGCATCAGAACATGCAGATAATTTGAAGATATAGGAAATGCTATTAAATATTATGGATTTTAATAATAGCTTCCAAATTATAGATTTTTTTGAGAGTGAACCCATTAAAATTACACTTAATTAAACTTAAAATCTTTTAAAATTTTCCTCAACTAGAACACTAAAATAGAATAAAGCATCATATAAAATTCACCTTTAAAATTTGAACACTTTAAATAGTAAACTTTATATATGAGACCCTTCACTTTGAATAAAAACAAGATTAATCATCATTGTTCTTAGCATTATTTTCTTACAATGTAATTCTTCTTTATTTTTAATAAATTGGGATTATTTTAAGCTTATAAGAGAAAAGTCCTTATTTAAGCTTTTCAATTAATTCACAGATGAGGCATCCTTTAATAGAACCTCCACTATTCTTTATAAAATAGTAATTGCAAATGTAAAACAACACATCTCTATGTATGTATTTTTCTTCTTCACCATGTTCTTCGAGAAAGCGAAATAACTTTCTACCAAATTCGGCATTCTCAATGAAGATTTCTTCAAAAGCTTTACTATTAAAAGTGTAAATTTTTGTGAGTACTAAAAAAAGATTATAAAAATGATACTCAGTTTATAAATCACAATAATGATCAAAACTTGATTTAGTTTTTTCCACTCTTGAGCATCAAAAAGAGTATGTTAAGGTTTTCTCTCTTAAACACAATTTCCCATTAAAATATCTAAAGTTTAAATTAAATTATTTAAAATGTTTTGGGGTACTCAAGTCACATAAGGATAATCATATAAATTAACTGCTGAAGAAGCTACAGTGATTCATGTCTCAAATGTTGTATTAGCAGATGGTGATAACAAAGTTTAAGTCTATGCAAAAGTAAAGGGAAAGGAATATGTACTTGCCAACCTCGAAAAAAATAAGGTATGGAAAATTTTTATAATTAGTTGGAATAAGCATTTTTGGATCTTTACTTTAGAGTAGATTAGCAGGTGGAAATTGGACTTAAAGGAAAAGGTTCTGTTCATCTTTCAGGCTATATTGAACCAGAAGACGAAGAATTGGTATAGATTCAATTAATTTTTTTTAGAATGAAGACTTAGATTTAGAAGATGAAGAGAGTGAGGAAGTTGAGAAATAAAAAGTTAAAAAACCTGAACCATCTAAATAAACTGAATAAGTCAAATAATAACAAAAAGAACAATAAAAGCCATAAACTTAATAATTAAAAACATAAACATAATAACAAAAGCCACAAGCCCAACAATAAAAACAACAACCAGAATAATAATAAACAGCTAAGCCTCAAGATAAAGCTTAAAAACCACAATAATAATTGCCCAAAAAGGTAGAAGAAGATTGGAATGATGATGAAGATGGAGAGGAAGAAGAACTTCTTGACCAAAGTGATGTTGATGATGAGGAGGTAGAAGAAGATTAAGAAGATGAGGAAGTCGATGACGAAGAAAATGGAGATGATGAAGAAGATGAAGATGAACCTAAATGTAAAATAGTTGTTTAAAAATTCTAGAAAATAAAAAATTCCTTAAAGGAAATTAAGGATAACAAGTCAAACCATAATCAAATTAATAATAGAGGCCCTAACACTAATAATAATAATACAGAAAATAATAACATTAAGGAAACTAATAATTTAAATAAGGATAAAAACCTTTCTAATAATCAAATAAACACGGACAAGGGTAATAAAATCACCCAAACAAAGGAGGATACTAAAACAAAAAGAAGAATTTCAAAAAAAATAATAACTTTAATAATAATAATAATAGAAAGAACTTTAATAAAAAGAATAATAATAGAGGTGGATTCAAAGGAGGTAGATAATGAGTATCTAAATATTATGTGTACATTAAATAAAAATATTCTTAATATATTTAAACATAATGAATAATAGTCAGCAGATGCTTTAGCTGTTCCCAACACCTTATGAAATTCTTTCTTTACTTTATTGGTTTTTATCCATTCAAATCATTTTTGATGATCAAGTCTTTTATTAAAATGATGTAAGCGTTACATAATTATAATTGTCATTATTTATCCAAATTATATCTCTAAATTGATTTGAGCATCTCCAAGGAAATTCAATTCAAACTAAATTTATGAGAAGTTATCAAAAACTAGCATAATAAATGTAGATGTTAAGTTCAATATATTAAATTTACTTAAACTGAATTTAATGGAAAATATAAAAAAAAAATCAAATAATTAACTATCTTGCTTAAAAAAAAATAAATTGAACATAATTTATTTCAACTTGAAAAATTATTTATGCTAAACTAATCAATAAAATATGACTCTTCTTGAAAATGAATATTTCCAATCAATTGAAAGCAAAACAGTTATTTATATTATTAAAGAATAACTAATAAAAAAAGACAGGAAATTGTTGTTTCTATTTTAATTTTGAAGTAATTTTGCACCTGAAATGAAATTACTATCTATTCATATTTGAACCATTTTAATGAACTTTTTTGCATTCCTTTAGTAGTAGAAATTTATTTTTCATTAATTAATGATGATTATTTTTACAAAAAATAATATTTTTAATAAAAATGGAGTAGCCGAGCTTCGCTCTCGGCGCCTCGTGAATGCAAATCACGCGCTCTACTAAATGAGCTACTACCCCAACATATAAATAATAATAATATATGATTAATATACATGAAAGAAAATGTCTGACTGACAGATAAAAGCTAGAGGGTGATCCAATTTCCTTTTATATTTGGCATAGTATTTCCGAATAAATATAGATATTCGTCTCATATATATTTCGAGCTGCAAAATTAATTTAGATAAGCAAGGAGCATGACACTTTATTAGATAAAATTCCAAATCAATTAAAAAAAATGATAAATTGGGAAGATGACAGCAAGGATGATATATATTAAAAAGTATGTATCAAACTAGAAGAATTATTACAAATTGAATTCAAAGATTGTGTTAAAGTGTCTGCTAATATTGAAGAATTAAGGAACATTGTAAAAAAAGAATATGAAAAAGTAAATAAATTCTGTATAAAAGTTTCATTGTGTGAATACATCTATTTAAGAGTCGTTTTAGTTGTAAAGTTCAACTAGGATATCTTTACACTCTAAAGCTTAAAAGGAAGATAAATCAAATTACATAATAAATATGAGCGAAAATACATTTCTTTAAGACATAAGTTATATCTAAAATTAGGAGAGAAAATTGAAGTTCAAAGAGTAGATTATTAAACCAACTAAAACTTATTATAAATAATTTTCGAGAGTACAAACTAACATATTAAATAAAATAAATTAAATAGCTTCCTTCTAAGATGTGAGGTTTTAAAAGCTTGAAAAAATTAGATAAGTAAAATATAGAATTTTACACATAGATCGAAAGCACAATTGAAGAAAAATTAGAATCAATACATTCTAAATTGCTCGAATTATCTTATAAACTAAGATAATTATTCAATAAGCAATCTTAAAGAAACATTTTATCTAAGTAATATTTAAAACCTCCTTAAATTCACAATAAAAATACTTAACGCCAACATTTACAATAATTAATATAAACCAAAATTTTTGTAAATTCTAAGTAGAATTAAAACAAATTTAAAATTAATTCAAGTGCTATTTAATAACAAACCTAAGACTCTTAAAGACTATATTAATAAATAAAGTCTAATTAATTATCTCAAGAAAAAATAGAAAAAGCAAAAATTATCTAAAATTATTTTAGGAAATATTTATAAAATAAATAAAGCCTTAGGATATTGGATAAAAAATAGCCTTCAAAAACTCTAATTCATAATTTAAAGTTAGATTTAAAGAGAATAGGAATTAAATCCAATAACACTTCAAATAGTTAAGAAAAATAGAAGAAGGGTGTTGTTAAGATTACTCAAAAAAACATACTTTCATTTTTATAAAGGCAAAAGTCTCTTTGTAAGCAAGGTTACCAAGAAAAGCTTTCGCTGGCAAAATAAAAAAAAATTCAGTAGGCCATTAAATCAAATGATATCAACATTATTTTAAATTCAGGATTTAATTTTGGTTTGGAAGATTACAATTAAAAGGATGAAATGTAAAATACACCTCTATTTTATTGTGCAAAATATGTAAAACAAGTTTGATTTAGAATCTCTATGAATTATGCTAATTTTTGTTGCAAAAAGGAGGAAACCCCAATATCAAGTGTTCACAAGGACAAACTGCCACCCATTAAGCGTGTTTATCAAAGAACCCTAAGCTTTTTAATTTATTTACTTAATATGGTATCAATTTCACAATGTTTATAGGTGCTGATTTTAATATGCCTGATGATAATGGAATTATTGCTTAAGCAATAATTGAAAAAGAAAAGATCCCTTTTCTTTTAAATGAAAAGGATTTAAACCTTTATTCATATAAAGTTAGCTCACCTAAATTTGATGAATTTCTTGTAATGTGAAAGAAAATTATAATTATTATTAAAATAAATAAATGGATATTTTTAAGGATTTATTTGCTACATAGGGATTTTAATTATGTGTAAAGGCTGTATAAGATGTTCAACCAAATGGCGATCAAGAAGCTTTATTCAAGTAATGTTAATAAAATTATGTAAATGCCTACAAAGTGGTTGGATAAGAATTTCTAAGATTTTTCAATAATCAGCCTTCCAAAGATAGATATGGCCCTCCAGAAGATATCTGATTATTATCACATCATCAAAAAACATTATTTATTATTCAATCTTGAAATGAAGAAGATTTTCTAAACAATTTTTTCAAATGCAACAAATGCAGGTACAAGATAAAGTTTGTATTATAATATGATTTTTATCTGATTAATTAGGTACCTAATTAATCAGATTTCAAAAATAAGCAAAGACTCATATATATTATGATGTTAAGAGATAATGTAACAATGGTATTAAAATCAAGAAAAAAATAATATTAAACCTTTCAAATTTTATTAAATAAGTAATACATAAAGAAAAATTACTTTTTTGACTGATTTTACATATTTTAAATGAATTCATAAAAAGAATTAATAATTAAATTAAAAAATTCACTTAATGCAACAAAGCAACATATAAAAAGAAACAAATTATCTAGTTTCTTAATGCTTGATTTAAATTTTGTTGAAAAAGCATGAATTATTCAAGTAAATAATGTCGAGACAACCACAAAGGGAGAGCTTGATACAAATATTTAAAGAATACGATGAACTCTAACAAATAGTAAAATTAAACTCCAAATTAAGGGAAGATTTTGCTGTTTTGGAAAAATTACTAAATATGGCAGTTGAAAATTGATTGACATTAAAATATTATAAACAATCTTATCCAGATCCTTATAACTTTTATATCAACCAAATCTTCATAATAATAATAATTATATTTCAAAAAATCATATTCCTCATCTCTATTTTCATTTATTTTTTAAATTAAATAACATTTCCAATTAAACTTTGAATTGATCTAGTAGAATTATCTAGTTTATCCTTTTGATGAATTACTTTATATTAAGATGAATTATTTTTCCTTACTCTTCTTTTAAATAGCCTTTAAACACTAAATCTCTTAATCAATTAAATTGATATTATTCTCTTTATGGTAAATGGGGAATCTGATATTAATTATTATTTTTATAAAATGAAATGTGCAAAGAAGAAATTTAAATATTTAATTGAAGACGATCGGATTGACATGGAAAAAGTATATCACAACATAAGATATACTTTAGGTATATAATTTGATTAAGATAGAAATTACATAATATGAATAAAATGAGTTGTAAAAAATGTTTTTAGTAATAAAAGATATAATGCAATGCCTAAAAAGTTAGATTTGTACAATTTAAAAAGAGGAAAGAGCATTAAAAAGTGAAAATGATGAACTTTAATATTTAATCAAGGAAAAATAATAAATTCTGGGTGAACTAAATTCTTTAATTTAAATTCTTGAAGTAACTTAATAAAATTTATAATTTGATGGTGATTCATAAATAAATTTAACCCACATTTTATAAACTTATACTCCTAGAAAACAAAAAGTAGGAATGGAAATACTTTTAAATATTTAGATGGAAGAATAACAAATATTACAATTAAAAAGTTTGTTATAAACTATCTAGAATAAAACTACAGCCCTAAACATGAATGAATAATTTTGGTCTTGCATTCGATGCAGCAAAAGATTATAGGAAGGTTAAAATGAATAAGTACTTTTTTTATATAATTTTAGACTTGTATTTATCATTCTGGCAAACTAAAATATTATTCTTGTAGAACTTGTGGAGCAGATGAATATTTTACTTGTTGTCATCAATGTCGAGATTGCAACTCTGGTTGCAAAGTTGGTCTGCACAAACCATGAATTCCTGATTTTATTAACCATAAGTTTCTTGATTATTGAAAAAGACTTTAAATTTAAAAACATCAATATTCTTTTGTTAATTTTAATCTGCATTGAATAAAAAATTTAATTGGCTTTTTCTTCATAAAATTTAATAATTTAGTGTACAATTATCATAGTCATGCAAAAAAATAATTGGCAAAAACAAAATCTCAATTAAATTATTGAGTGTTAACATCAATAACAAATATCTCATTTATTAAAATATTTTAATATTGAATGGATATTCTTTTATTAAAACAAAATATATAATATAATATAAACTTTTTTTAATAATAAGGAAAACATGAGATTCACTTTTTAAAATAGGAAAAAATCTTATTTTTAGACTTAATGCCCCTAATCTTTATTAACACTTATATTTTTAATTAGGCATATGTTAGTAACAAACTTCTTAATCAAGTGACAATCTATTATAATTTAAATCAACTAGATATTGAATCAACAGTTGCTATTCTCTCTATTTTCAAGACAAATAATGTGTTTTTTAAACTTTTTCTTTAATTTAAACTGATAATTTCTATACAGCTTATCTTTATTTTGAAAAATTAAATGATATTTTTGATTTTGTTGTCTTCACTTATACTCTCTTATAAATCCTTCTACTGATTCTTTTATAATTTCAATTAGATTGCCATTTTACTTTCTACATGATTTAATTCATCTTATAATTTAAACTTATTAGGACTAATATCATAATCGGCTTTCTTAAAATTAGATCTTCTAGTTTAATTTTAGAATACCATAATTTTAGGTCATCTCTTAAAGAGTTACAAACAATCATCCTTTCAAGGAAATGACAGATGTTTTAATAATTTATGTTATTCTACAATAATTTAATTTTTCTTTAGGTTTGCATTTCATCATAAGAAGAAAATATCATTTTTGTTGTTGTTTGAAATTATAATGATAGCAGAGTACTTTTGCATCATTTAAATAGTTATGCAGACAAAGAAGTTCTTCTAAATTTTGTTTTTTTCTTCCTCGAGATAGTATCCTTTGTTTATTAAGAGGAATTTCTCAATCCTTTAAAAATATTGTCTAAATTCCTTTAATTTTTTTTTATTAGAAAGGTGACATTGATTCTAATTACATAAATGTTTGATACATAAATTTATTAGTTAGCCAAAAAATACCAATAATAATGATTAAATCAAAGAATATTAGAAATAATACAGGAAAATATAATAAATCATGCCTAACTTAAAGGATAGCTATAAGTTAAATGAATGTGATCCTAAAAAAATAATTGTTTTGATCCGCTTTTTTCAGGAGGAATTTCAACATTCTGTTTCAATATAGGAGTGGAGAGTGATAATGGTGTTTCGTCTTTGTTTTACTCATCTATACTAGAAATTTAGTCATATGATTAAATGACTGATAAGTTTAACTAAGATACAAATTTCTAAAATTTAAATGTTAATATATACCGAATAAATTCTTTAGCAAATACTTTCTGAAGAGTCTTCTTCATTACTTTCAGATTAGTTTAAAGAAAGTTATTCTAAAAACTACTAAGGTTATCTCAATTCTTAGAGATATGAATCGATATAATTATTTAGTTTTAATGATAAATCTTCTAGAGAACTAAACTGATTGATTTCACCTTGAAGAAGCTCATGGTTTGAATAAATTAGTTCATCAGTATATTATAAAGGGCTTCTTTATGTGTTTTATTCACTTTATAAAAACTGTTATGTTTATGATTCTTGTGTAATCTAGTGTTAGATTGATAAATTTAAGCAAGCATTTGAGTTACTCACTTCAGATGTACTATCCATCATGTTATTTTCTGTAATGTTAGGCTTAATGTTTACATCTAAGTGTTCATTTAATTAGTTTAATTTCAACATTATAATAATAAGAATATAATTAACAAACATCTCACTCTAATATTAAAATATTTATCAAAAACAGAAATATATTTCCTATAGATGATAGTTAAGAATCATTCTATATTTAATTACAATTAGCTTATGCATTATGAGTTTAGTTCATGTAATCAAGAAAAATTCAAACCCTAATTTATTCATTTTAATCAATATTAGAATTTATATTAGTTTACACTAAACGCATTAAGAAAATTATTGAATATATTATAAAATGTTGAACCAAGATATTGGAAAGGATAATAATAAATGTTTATTTTTGATATTTAAGGTAAATATAAAGAGATGCCAAATATTGTGATTTATACTATTTTTTTCCACACTTCATTGTGAATTTCAATGATTCAATTGATTTGATATATTATGAAAAAACCAATAATGCTAATCTTGGTCTGCTACCTTGCTTTGTAAGCCTTAGAAACTCAGTAATTGGATAAGGATCATCAAACTTAATGCCCTTTTTGGTACTAATTATAAACATAGATGTTTGAATATTTAATAGATTTCTTGTTATTTTGGGTATTTTAGGGCAAAAGATGATGGATCAGTCTAGTTTCATTACCTTTTTTATTCCTCTATCGATTCAGCTTCTGATTATCTTTGACATTATTGTTACTTTGAGGACTAGGATATTCATCAATGATTGCAGCATTTACAGATTTAGACCTTACACCTTTATTTCAGAATCTATTGATTTTGAAGAGAATCCATATACTTAGACAGCACTAGTAAACTGATTAAGTTATGCTTTTGGCCAATATACTTGAATTAAAATCTCCAATTTATATTAGATATTCATATGGCACAGTTAGAACATCTATGGATGAGTCAACTGCTAAATACAATAGACATGCATTGATTGAATTTTTTGTAAAATTTCCAAATTTCCAAAATTAAAAATTCTATAATAATGGTGAATCTAACGCTGACATCTATGTGCCAATATTGACTCAAGGAATTGTAAAATATAATGAATACCAGTTAATCCTGAAGTTTTAAGAATTAACACTTAAAGTATAATAATTGGAAATGGTTGCACTTATCCAAGTGAGTGTACTTTATTAGGATATCTTTTTCAAAGACATAGATTAGACTTTTATGGAAGACATGGCTTCGTTAGTGAAGAAACCTATTAAAAAATCTTTGATCAATTTTACTGAACTACAACCCCATAATGTCAAGCTTTATCAAAAGAGGTTTTAGCTTAAATACTCGGCCTTAATATTCCTACAACTTAAACTTATATAATGTTTATTCCAAATGTGTGTCTTACACTCCTGAAGGAAGTAAAAGAATGAAAAGTTTTTGAGGTTCAGATGAAGAGAAAATTGATTCTGATTTAACTCCATGTATGAATGTAAAGGACTTTTTTATTGGTTTTAGAAAGAAGAAGCTCAAAATGTAATCAATTGTAATAATTACTCTAGTTATTAAATATAAATTCAAAACACCAAAATGAGTTGCTTGCTCATTAAATTTTCAGGATTATTGAATAAATCCATATTCATGAAAAATAATATTAGAGTTCTTATTTTAATTAGAGATGTAGATGGAGTTGTTCCAATACAGGCACTCTTTATTGGACTCATTTATTTATTAATAATAGAGCTGAATACAATAAAACCATTTTGACCCGATTATTTGATAGAGTTTAAGATCGATATTATAGGATTGACCTATTGTTAGCTTTAGGGATGCAGGTCATAAATTATTTGTTGATCGTAGAATGGAATCCAAGATAGTCTTAGAGAAACTCTTAAGTAAGAATATTTATGAGATTCAAATCTTTATTTTATATTCTTTTCAAAAAGCTTTAATTTATAAAACGTAAGTCCTCATTAATATTTCAATAAATAATGAATTGTAAAAGCAAGCATTTTCTTTTTAGTACCGACTATAAATTATATCTCAATCCAAAATATATAGTTATTGGGAAGGTAAGGATGAATTTTATTCTAAAGAGTGAATAGAACCTAAAGTATAAAATTCCTTTGAATCTTTCAACAATTATCAAATGGATTTTCAACGGTGATTCTACATTCAACGGATTTTAGTTTTAGTGGAAAAACTCTTGGAAAACTATTCTGTTAACTCATGATCAAACTTTGACTCTTAAGGACAATCTGGATGGAAAGGTTACTTATAGTAACTTAGCTAAAATGTATAATTTGATCCATTGCGAGAGATCAGGCTATTCTAGCAAAGTAACCTTTTCAGCAATATTAGGTTTATTTAACTTATTGTTGTGCCAATCAAAAAAAATATTATATGTAAATTTTTCCAATCTCTGATTTGACTAATTAGGTATTAGACTTTTACTAAGTAGGAATATATAAGATTAATACAAATTATAAACATTACTCATCCAAACATTCTTAAATGTGAAGAGTATTTTGTGGAAGAAAAGAATTTGTATATAGTAACAAATATTTTAAATGGAAGAACGTTAAAGGAAAGGATAGGTAGTCAGTATAGGATGGAACCTTAAGAAATCATTTCTATTATGAAAACTCTTCTTAAGTTTATAAACGATATGCATAAGTAAGGTTATGTATTTAGAGAAATCACATCGACAAATATATTTCTTTAGAGTGATGGAGAAATTCTTCTCATAGATTTTGAATTACTAGTAAAAATTGAAGAAGCCTTCAGAACTAAGGCTGTTTCTAAAGAGAAAGACTTTATGCATGAGTTTAAGGATTCAACCAAAAATACTCATGAAGATTGGGTTGAAATGGAACGATTTTGTTATGAATAACATGATGTTTTGATTTTAGGATATCTATTAAAGGAAATGTATTAAGAAATTGCATTTTAGGTTAACTAGTAAAGTCTAACAATTACACTCCCAAGAAAGGGCAAGGCAACTCACAATTAATAAGACTATTCTAATTCATAAATCACCAAAATATTATTTATGCTAATTATTACAAAGAATGTTAGAACCAGATCCAAAGGGGAGGATAACAATATAGAATGCTATGTATTTTTTAGAAGATATTGATTTTGATGATAATAGCTATGAAGATTTCCCTGATACATCAGAGGAATAATAATTTCAACCAGTCAAATCAATTTCAATAAAGACATTCCTCGTTTGATTAATTAAATATTTTGATTTCTCAATTTATATTTAGAATAAGTGCTATTTTGACACATAAATATTTCATTTGAGTCCTCTTTCACTCACTTCTCTAAATAAAGAAATATCACCAGAAATATTTAAAACTGGAGTTCTCATTTGGGATATTGGATAGATTATATATGGATTTTAAGGCTATAATACTTCACTTTTTATGATAGGCTGTATTTGAGGTATGTATGAATTATTTCCTAAAATTTCTGATTGTTTTTATTATTGAAATTTATTAGTTACATCCATATTATCATTTACTTAAGTATGATCATTATAACTTGGTTTTTGATTATGTGATTTGCCTTTTTTGGCTTTATCAATTTACTTGTTCATGTACATCTATGAATATGCTGATACTATATTTTTCGCTATTGTCTAATGAAGTGCCCATACCTCCACCATGTTATGAGCCATTTTACATTTTTTATATTGAGAATAAGGAGCTATGAAGATCTTAAGATTTAGAATTATCAGCAAAGAAGAATTTTAAATTTTATGTCATTATTAGAATACTTGTTTGCCATTTATTTTAATTATTAATATTGTACTAAACAATCATCATTATCATTATCATGATCTGTAAAGATTTGGTCTTTTTGCTTTGAATATAGTTCTGAATTTTTTATGGCTAGCTCTTGGAACAGTCTTAACAATTGGGAATTTTATCGAATCTCCCTTAAATAAATTGCAAATTCTTATACTCTGTATTAATTTGTTTTGCCTCTCTTGATATCAGCACTCTTTGTCAATACCGATGTTCTGAGAATGTGAATAGTTTATGGCTATGCTCTATGATTTCCTGCCATTTCTTAGTCTAATGAAGTAATTTATAGGATGCTTACATAATTAAGACACAGCACCATTTAATGTAGTGTCTCTGAATTCTTTATACATATTGTGAATTGTTGTTCTTGATTAATATTTAAGTACGATTCCATATGTCTTAACATTTGTGTCTCTTCTTTCAAATAATTCTTAAACTGCTAAAATCTAACCATGTGATGGTTTAAGTTTATTCAATCTTCTTAAATTCCACCTAAAATTTATTCATTTGATCAATACCAAAATCTGCTTTTGGCTGCTACTGTATTTCTTGCAAAAATTCTCATACTAATGACTTTAGGATTTGGATCTTCCTTTGATGGAAGTCTTCTACCAGATACTAAGTATTATCTAATCTATTCAAAATAAATTTATTCTTTACTTTCATTTCTAAAGAATTGTCTTATGGGTCTTAAGCAGAGTTTTTAACCATTTCTTATTTTTAAAAAAAAGATTTAATTTATCATCCAATTTATCAAAACAAACAACAGATAACTTTATATAAATTATTAATTCTTATTTATGCCTCAAAGAATCCCTCCTTATCAAATATCAAATTATTATCTACATTTTTCGAAATAAAAGAAATATGAATTATAATTAACAATATTTATAAATAAAAAAATTATTCCAAAATTTATCTGTAAAATTTCAAAACTACATTTGCAATTTTACAAAAGTATGAATATATTAGATATGTTAAATTTATCTCTTTGTGCTTAGCCATTTTGAAAAGCAAATCCTGAGAGTTCAAGTTATGATATTTAAGTCCATAATTTTGGAATTGAAATTTAATTTGAAGATTTGAGATAAATGGTTAATTGACAAACAATATATTATAGTTTTAAATCTTTTTAAGTGTTATTTGTACTATAACTATATTTTCACTATAAGTCCTTCAAATCTTGTGGATACAGAAAAAAATTATATATGCTCAAGATAGATTAATTTTTTTAGTTGGTTAATCAATTAAAGTACTATTAATCGTAATTATCCTAAATTTTATTTTACAACCTGATCATATTTTTCTATGCTTTTAAATTTAAAGTAAAATATTTTTCTGAATCCTTTTAGTTATTATTTTACAAAAACCATTCTGCCTAATTCTAAATAACTTTCTTGCAGTTTAAATTTTCAAAATGCCATTTTTATCAGTTTTGTGAACTCATTAAAAATAAATTCTCTAATCGAATTATAATCTAATTAAATTCAGTTTATTAAAATAAAAAGTTATTTTGATCTTAATCGAAAATTATATCTGATCATTTTATGAAAATTTCTAAATTAAATGGTAAATGATATGACCTTCATAACAATATCTATGTTTATTACATAAAATTAGTAGAAATTATCATAAAATAACAAAAATTAAGATTCAATTTAATAGTTAGATAAAAGAATTATTTATTACACATATATTATTGTAGAATAATTTCATTCTATTTCAATATCATCTAAACATATTTTGAAGAGATCAGACATTTAAAGTGTGGAAATAGGTTCTTTGTTTTCATTCAGACATACTAGACTACCTCTAGATGAGAGAAGCAAGTTTTCTACCACCTTTGATAAATTAAAGTAATACTTCTTTTACAGTTTATTTCATGTGAAATAGCTCTTTGTTACAAATACAAAAGCCAGCATATTTAGATTTCTCAATTCTAATAAAATTCAATAAATCAATGGCTTATCTATTAAGCTAATCTAAATGTTGAGTCATACCATGTCGTAGACTTGATACTTGAGGATGAATTAAAAATCTCTTCTATCAATCAAGCCCAAATACTAGTTGTTAGCATCCACAATAGGTATAGCATTTCTTTTGAAAACATAAATCAATTTATAAAACACTCTAGAATAAGGAGAGTAATTTACTCATATACATTAGTATCGAATGAAAGTTTATCATTCAACTGGAGTATCCTATCACTAAAGTAATTAATTTCTAACTCATGTTATTCAGATTGTTATTAATTTTCATTTCGAACTTCAATCTTATGTGATTTTTAAGATAATTATAAATGGAAATATTAACTAAATCCTTTAACAAGAAAAGCCAAAATATCCTTTTACTATAGGATGCCCACAATTACTCTAGTTTCAGTATCAATAACTACAATTCTAGTTACACCCTACTTTAATATTTTTTTCATTGCATCATTTAGGTTATCAGCCATATCTGCCTAAACGAGACTGCTTTAATGAAGATTTTCTCCATATGAATTAAACCAATCTCTTACAGAGATAGTCTTTAAATCAATGAGCAACTTATTAATTTACTCCTAACCAATTGCTTAGGTTTTGTTAACAGGAGTTGATGTTCTATCTTCATCTTCTTCTTCCATTATGGGCTAAACTTAATTTTTACTATTTCCCCAAACTGACTAAAATATGCTTAAAGATTACCATTAGGAATGCCATTTATAATGTTTTGATAGCATTTGAGAATGATTCTAATCAAATCAGTTTGAGTGAAAACTCCATCATAATAAGCTACATCTGGATTCCAAAACAATACTTCATCAATATGCGTCTCTATAAAGACATTAAAAACATCAAACAAAGAGAATGACTAATCAATTACACTGACTTAATTATTGATAGATAGGCAATCGTAAAGTGTACTATCTTATAAGAAACATGTTAAAGTCTTCATATATTAATCCTTTATGATGTCCTCTTTACTTTACATTCTTTTCAACATTTATAATTATTTAAAAATGATAATAATATTTATTCAAAAATCATCTTCTTCCATAATGGTCATCATTATTATATCCAAATTGATCTTATTATTGATAGTATTTTTGAATTTTGTGGTTTGAATCGATTAACATTTGTTATTTTTCATTCCATTATTCGATAGCCTTATGTCTAGTAACTGGATTTTCTCTATCATAATCTGTATCAAATCCCAAACTTCCTTCATCATATGATTTAATCTATAAATTTAATTAGAAATAATTTTATACTTCTTCATTATTGACTACTGGGAACAAATATTCTGAGATGTCTTCCATTGGTAAAGAAGCATATATTATAGCAATCACCATCAATAAAACATCAATCTAACTTATCTCTTTGAAAAATGCATAAGTCATGATCATTTCTCCAAATGCACTCCACACTATTAGATATTCCAACATCTCTATCATCTCTAATAAACTTAAAATTATACTTACCTGTTGATAATTAAATGCTAATTGACTCCTTCACTGTTCTCCTTCTTAAAATGTTATAATAGTCAACATAATAGTAAATCAGAATACCGAAAGCACTACAAACTGTACCCAAAGGAATTGCAGTACCATATAAGAAAGTAAACCACATTGTTTTCATAATATCTGAGTACCTTTTGGCTGATAAATAATCTGGTTCTTCCATTAATTTATTTGCTTCTTATTGAGTTAATAAGGCTTTATCTCCCTTTCTTACAATATACCATCTCCAAATATTTTTACATAAACTCCATGGATCTACACACCATATAAATGGAGGCAATACAGCATTCAGAATAAAAATCTAACTTTCATTTTATAAGAACCCTCCTGCTCCTTCAACATTCTTTAAAATTACAATATCCACTAAGAAACTAATAATGGCTGCATTCAAAAATAATGCTAATGCATATTTGTATACAAATGATATTTGAAATTTAGTTTTACTTGAAATCTTTTCATCATCTACAATATAATGGACTATTTTAGCAACTGCAAATTTATTAAATAAAACAATGCTCAAAGATATAATAAAAGATAGTATGTTTATTTTCAACATTGTGTCATGATCTAATTTTCCTTATATTTCTTCTTCTCTTGCCTCATCTCCATATTTAGCCACTTTATGTGCTATTAGATATATTGAATAGAATGCTGCACTTTCAACTAATAAATAAATTATCCAAGCCTTAACTCTCTTGCTAATCTTTTCTTCAGTCTTAACATGAATGAATTCCCAATCAACTTCATTAGGTTCTGGAGCTTATTCTATAAATAATTTTTGATCATGCCAAGATAAATCATTTTCAGACAATCCTTCCAATTTACCTTTATTCCAATATGACTTCATTCTTTCAAATTATGTATGTTGATTTTCTTGTAAAACCAAATTTTTCATATTTTCATCATCAAATGATATGAATGCTATACCAGCAAATTTTTTATTTTCTCTCTCATACTCTTTTTCTGTCTAATGTATTTTATGTTCCAACTCTTTTATTTTCTAATCCATCTCCAAAACCTTTGGATGATTAAAATTATAATTATATTCTTTTATAATATCTTTCTTTCTATCCACTAATTCATCAAGTTGCTTTTCCATTTCAATAATTTCTTCGATATCATAAACCAAAACAACTTTTTTTACTACAATAGGTTTTGTATCTGATATAACTGCACAAGTTTCAAACATATGTTTCAATTCCCATTTATAATCTAATCCTAATCCTAAAGGAATATTTTTGACACAAACTGTATAATCAGCAGGTGTCAATAGTTCTTCATCTATAGTTGTATCTATCTATCTCTAGCTTTTTCTAAAATAAATAAGGACAATCATAACAATAAATAAGTTGATAAAATTTAAGATTTGTACATACTCTAAAGCTTAACGATTACTAATTATTAAAATATAAATTTACTCTAATTTATTTGCTAAAGATAATTTTAAAAATAATGAATCTGAACAATTTGGTAATTCTACAAAGTGTCCTTCTATTTTTTCTTTTTTAACATGACTACAATATGATCCTTCATAACTTGTATAAAGATTATAAATCTGTTTTGTTATCAAAGTTATGAATAAGATTATTATGCAATATTTGAGATAATTGTAAAATAATGTAAATCCAGAACCTAGAAATGACAATGCCATAGGATTTGAACAATATGGGATTTCATCTCTCTCTACTTCAAAACCACAACAAGGACATGTTTCAACTGATTAATTTTAATCATTAATATACCATTTGTTGTTTTATTAATGTCTTTCTTTTTTTCTAAGGCTGTTCTTCTTGATTAAGCATGCTTTCTAGCCAAATCCCAATTACATGGCATAGTTAGAGGATGATAATGCTAGCCTTTAGAAGAGTGTTAATGGATATCATTATTAGTATGATTAACTTCATGGTATTGTTAGTAATTGATCTCTTCAATTTTGGAAACTTGTACTTATGAGACCCTAGATTAATCATGTTGATTCTGTTATTATAAATTCAATGTCTATAACAAATAAATAAAGAATATATTACCTAACCTTTGACATTAGAGTTGAACTAGTTTGGAGCAACTCCCATAAAGTGTTGGAAATTTGAAGGAGGATTAGTTTAACTGTTGTATTTCATATTTATTTTGAATAATAAATACAATATAGTTAATAATTTTTATTAAAGTAAAATTTATCATAAAATAATTTATTATGTAGCCATAAAATTAGTTTTCATTATTTGGAAATGTGCAGGTTAATGAAGCTGAATAAAATAGTGAAGTCAAAAAAAAGAGAGAAGAATTTGCAACAGAAATCAGGTCCAGGGAAAGAAATAATATAATAAACAATAAAAGATTAGCTTAAAATGTAGTTCATATTGATTTTCAATTTTAGAATTAAACAACAACAATTACTGAATCTTTACCCTTAATACCATCCACACTTCCATAAGATTTACAATTAGCCTTAAAAGCACAATAAGAACAACTTATGAAACGATCATTTACATTTGAAGATTTTCCTGATATTCTACAAAAGATCTTTTCTTCTGATATTTTGTAATTACATTATGGAGTAACAGGATTAAGAAAGATGTTGTCAGTTGAAGTAAAATAAATATACTATTATTCAAGTCAGGTGCACCTATATAATAGGTTATTGATGCAAATTTGGTACCTAAATTAATTGACATTATTTAAAAAGAGCAAATTCCTCAACTTGTTCTTGAAGCAGCTTGGGCTTTAACAAATGTAGCAAGTGGAACAACTTTATAAACCTAATCTATCATTGATAAGGGAGGAATATATTTATTCGTTAAACTCTTGAGTTCATAATATAGAGATATTGCTGAATAAGCAGTATGGGCCATAGGTAATATTGCTGGAGATTGTACATAATACAGAGATCTTATATTAAGAGTAGGTGGAGTGGATCCATTGATTAATATTATGTAAAATGCTCCAAATAAAAACACAATTAAGCATTGCACTTGGTCATTAAGTAATCTTTGTCGAGGAAAACCAATTCCTGATTTTAAGGTTTATAATATATTCTATCTATAAATAGTATGTCAAAAATGCTTTACCTGTATTTTGCAAAGTCATAATAGATGAGACTGACCCAGAAGTTTTGACAGATGCTTGTTGGGCTTTGTCTTATTTAAGTGATGGAGATAATAGTAGATTATAAACTGTGATTGATTCTTAAGTAGTCCCAACTCTCATTAAATTACTTGATCATTCATCTCTCTAACTAGTTATTCCTACTTTAAGAATATTGGGAAATGTTGTGACAGGAGATGAAACTTAAACAACATATGTATTAAATTAAGGTTTGTTACTTAAAATACCTAAGTTACTCTCTCATGACAAGAAGGCCATAAGAAGAGAAGTAATATTATATTTTATAATAGGCTTGTTGGACAATTTCTAACATTACTGCAGGGAGTATCAATTAAGTTAGTTAAGTCGTTAGAGATTCTGCAATATTAGAAAAGCTATTTACATTGATGACCACAGATGTTGAAGAAATTGTAAGGGAAGCAACATGGGCTATTTCCAATTCAACTAAACATGGAACTAATTCAGATATTTAATTGTTAGTTTAAAAAGGATTGCTTAATGTGTTTAAATAACTATTAGAAGGAGAGGACACACAAACTATGACTGTAGTACTTGAGGCCTTATTGAATGTATTAAAGAGAGGTATGTTGTTCTTTTTTTTGAATTTAGGCGATTAAGATTTTAAAGATGACAATTATTACTTAACGTAATTGGAATAAATGGGTGTAATTTCGAAGATAGAATAATTACAAAAACATTAGAATTAAAGTGTTTATCAAAAATGTTTTAACATTCTAGAATAATATTACGAAGCTGAATCAGAATTATGATATATATGTTAAAATAATTAATATAGATTTATTAATTATAAACATTTCAAATCAATTATGACTACATCTATGATTTTTTTTTGTCTTTTTTTCTCTCTTATTTTGATTTATAATCATCACTCATTAATTTCTAATTTATCTTTGAAAAAGGATTTTGTTAGATCATCATTTCTACAGTTTTAGGTTGACTCTAAAACTTTTCATTTTCGTTCTTTTGTCTTACTTTCTCTACACATCCTAAAGCCAATAAACAAACTTAATTTATCATAATTCTTTTTACCTAATAGTAAAACAAAAACGAGAATTAAGGTTTTAATTAACTCATCTTCTAATATAGGTTCAGGATAAGATAGTTAAACATTTAAATAAAAATTATGTCTTACAACTAAATCTCTATTTACTTCTCCATCAATAAATTATGTAACATTATACTTAACTAAATAACTTTGTTAAGTTAAAATTTAAGTTTCTAATAATTATATATCATAAATTTACCATTGTTACTATAACATTTAACTCCTGCAGGTGTAAAATTATATCTAACTAAAAATGCTCCTGATGCAGTTACACCAAAAAAGAAATCATCATATTGGAATCCAGTTATATTGAATTTCTTTAACAATGGATAATCTGTAATGTTTTAATCAAAAAACATGAAATTACGAACACCAAATAATGTGTAAATAGTTGGTTCGGTATCTGGATTTACTAATTTAAAAGAATTAGAAAAAATCAATTAATGATGGATCAAACCTTATATTAAAACAAATTCATCTGTTACTTTCAAACCTACTACTTTCTAATAAGAAATATGTTAATTAACAATTTCATATCCTTCTATATTTTTATCATACAAATATTCAATAATTGAATATCTAAATAATTCTTTATAAACAACAAACACATTTCTACCATTTTTTGTATCAACTGCAATACCTCCCTCCTTTCTTGGTATTTCAGGTCTCACTTTGTATTTGAATTCTCCATCATCTATCTCTATTGCTAATTCAATCAATCCTATCACAACATCCAACATAAACATATGAAATTCATCATGATCTTTCTTAATTACAATGAAATCTGACAATTTAGTAAAATCTGGAAACAACCTTATTAAATCAATTGTTAATTCAAATCTAACATCATAAGATGATACTCTATAAACATCTATTCCCTCTCTACCAACACTACTATAAACATAGCCAAAATATTCTTTAGTAAGTCCTCTCTCTTTTCTCTTTTTCCATGATGAAGCAGTGTACAAAATCAAGTGTTTCGAATTTGCATCCATTTCATACATACTAAAAAACTATGCACTGTTTGGATATAGCACTAACACTAAATTGTTGGTCTTTAGGTATAGAATTTGAGGGATTTCTTCTTTATCTTCTGTTGTTGGAGCATAAGCCTATAAATCTACCTTCCATCGAAATCCTGCAAATTCATAAGGATTTCCATATTCTGGAAAACTGAATATTTCATGTATGTAATTGTAGTTAAATTTCAAATGATATATCTTGGCATTTGAAGTAATAGCAATAAAACCATCTCTAACATGGACCATTGAAATGAATTATCCAAAATTTAATGGAGTTTCTTCTTAATAAACATAATCAGTTAGATCCTTTTCTGTAATAATATTCATTGTTTTAGTCTCAGTTTTGACAGCTGGTTGTTGAGACCAACAGTAACTATCATTTTGATTACCAATTAGAATGGAATCTGCTGCTCCAGGCATTGTAATTATTGTTGTCGCTCTATCTAAATGAAATTTCTTTGTTTAGTTTTTGTCAGTCACTTCCTTAATTATAATTCCTTCTATGAAGTTAACTAAAATTAGAATTAAAATCATTATTTTATCATTATATAATGAAAATTTGAAAAGAAGAAAATATTCTTTATTTGTTCTTATTAAAATATAAATCAAAAATAAGATCTTAAACAATGTCATGGAGCCTAAATTACTTAACTTTCATCAAATTTTATTTGATTATTTGTATCATTTGTTTTTTATTTATTTTCTATTTCTGTATCTAGCCTTATTTCCTCTTTTCTTAATAATTTAAATTAGTAACAAATTGCACCTACTATATAATAATCATTATATATTAATACCAGAGAAAAATATCACAAATCCTATAACTATTAAAACCAAATAAATTAAGTGAATCTACTATTCAAATAAAAATGTAGTGACAACTTCAACTGAAAAATGTTTTGTAGTTCTAATTACTTTATCTAATGATACAATGCTATTCGTAACATATGATTAATTATATTTTAAAGTATAAAATTATTTTGCATTTTTGAATTATTCTAAAATTAATATAAAATAATTACTATTATCAGTAAAACAAACTACTCTAGCAGGAATAAATTTAAATTATGTTAAAAATGCATTAGTTGCAGTAACTCCAAAAAAAAATCATCATATTGATATTCATCAGATTGAGCAGCTTTTTTGAGTTTATCATTAGTATAAGAATATTTAAAAAATTCAAAATCTCTCATACCTATTTAAGAAAATCTTATTGGCTAATTGTGAGGAGCAATAAAATCATATCCATTTTAAAACACTATTTAATGATTGCTTACACCACTTATAATAGCAAATTCATCTGTAGCATCAACATCTAATATTCTATAATTACTTTATTTTTTTGTTATAATTGTATAATTTTTTTAAGTAAAATCGACAAAATATTCAATATAAAAGTACATCCCATCATCTTCATAAGCAACAAATACATTTTTTCCATTTTTTGTATCAACTGCTATACCATTTGGTATAGGATCAACATCAATTACTTTTTCAAATCTTACACTATCCTAATTGATGTACATGTAAGCTAAAATTAAACCTAATTTTGCATCTAGCAAATACAATTAATATTTTCCTTCATTAATTTTTATTACAGCAAAGTCTCTTACATCCAATTAATGAGTGAGTATATCAAAATCTCTAAATGAAATATTTGTTAAATATTCAATTTATAACTCTAGAATTCTATATATATCCAAACCTGCCTTCCCTACTGCTGAAATTAAATAACCTTCAACTTCTTTTGTTAATCCTCTTTCTTCTCTTCTTATAAAAGTTGAAATTTAATATATGGAAAGCATATTTTAATTGGTTTCCATTTCTGAAACACTAAAATAATGAGCAGTATCTGTATATAAAATGAAAGCAAGATTTCTAGTATTTGAATAAACTAATTAGGGTAATTATGATTTTGACTCAGTTGATTAGAGAATTTCTTGTAAATTTGCCTTCCAAATTACACCTGCAAAATCACCGCTATTTCCATATGTTTCAAAGCCATCTTAATTTATTACTTTATCATAATTGAATTTCAAAAAGTAAGCTATAGAATCAGAAGTAATAGCAATCATACCATCATTAACATGAACCATCCCAATGAATTATCTAAAATTTAATGGAGTATCATTCTCAAATTCATAACTATTATTCAATTATATAATATATATACTCTTTAAATTCATCAGATTTAAGTATAGTAAATTATTATGTTCTTGTTTAAACTGTTTATTGTTTTACTTCACAAAAATTCAATTTTTCAAAACTTTCCAATACAGCATCTTCAGCTTCTGGTATTGATATGATAATCTTAGGTTCACCAAAATGGATTTTAAAAGATTCTGTAGAATCTTGATTTTCTTAGACTATCACATTTCCTATTGTAATGTTGATCAAAATTGATAAAAACAAAACAACCATTAAATTATCTAATCTTATTAATATAATAAAGTGTACAATAAGGAATTTTTATTAGGCTTGATCTTTACTCATATACTAATAATTAATTTATCAAACATTTAATGGAGATATTTTCATCTAAGTTGAATTGGTTGATCCATATTAAGAAGCTCTTTTTAAAGGAAAGTGTGTTAGACATTTCAGATTTGATCAGTTCTTTAAAGAATGAAATTATTACAGAATAAGTTAATCCTCAAGATGAATTATTTTCATTAGAAGAAGTTATTGAAGAAGTTTATAAATATAAGAAAATTAGATTATCATATGATGATTTCTTTTAAATTATTGGTAATCTTCATTAATAGGATCCACAATTATCAACTTGTGTGAATTCTTTGGCAGATTCTATTAATGATCTAACCTTGAATGATGCTAAAGTCAAATAAGAAATAAGAGTATCTTATCATGACCCAACAAAATTAATTAAGACTCAATAAAGTTGTAAACCATCCAAGATTTCAAAAAGTCCAAGAATGAGAATTGAAAATTTATAAGAAGCATAAAAGAAGATTCTGGCTAAAATAACTCATATAGAAAATGAGATAGAATATGTATGATTATTTGAATATATAACGAAGTAGAAGTAGTAGCATTAATTAAAGAAGCCACATATTTTATAAATAAAGGAATTGACAAAATAACTATAATAAAATGAATAAGAGATAATTTTAAATGGAATAAGTACCTTTACACTTTAAGACTTTTATTTAGTTTTCCATAACTTAAATAAAGGGATATTCAATATTTAAACACTAATATTTAATGATAGATGTTCAGAAATTAGAGAAGTAACCATGATATTTAAAAACTTATAATATTTGAGCATAAATTCCTTATTAATAAAAGAATTAAAATTAGAAGAATTGATAGAACTAAAAGTATTATCTGTAGGTGGAAATAATTTAAAATCATTAGAGGGATTACCACCAAATTTAGTTGAGTTGTATGCCCAAAATAATTAAATTTCTTAATTAAGTAATACAAAATGTTTAAAAATATTAAATATCAGTTAAAACTGCATATCTTCTATATAATAGTTGATGCACATTAATAAATCATTAGAATTTATTAATTGTCATCAAAATTAATGTGCTTAATCAAAAGATTATAAAAGATTATTATTTAAAATATTCCCAAATTTAAAAGGAGTAGACAAAGATGATTTATTACAGCATTCAATAATATAATAGAACAATTTTCATTATAAGAAGGAATAAATGGACTTTTCTTTTAGTTAATCATGATTATAATTTATTTAAAATATATTTAAGTTTTGCTTTATACCATCAACATTTTTTTTGTTCTTTCTATAAGAGATGTGCTCTTTAAATTACTTCACTTAAATTGATATCTTATTTCTCTAAATTTTGCAAAATCAATAATATTTATCCAAAATCTCCTACAATTAATTCTTCCCTTAATTAAATCAAAAATGAAATAGCTAAGCAATATAAAAATTCTTCTCTATTGTTTTTCTAACAAAATAAACAATCCCAAATTCGTAAAGAATCATCTATATGAAAATCTTACGCAAACAAAATCATAAACCATTTTACATATAAGATAGAAAAATCCATCTTTTAATTTACTAAATGATCATGTAATTTCCAATCTACTTTCTTTAATAAATCCTAAAATGCCCTTACTTTTTCCTTTTAAAGCTAAAAGTTATTTTTCAAATTTGTCATCAATATCATAAAACAGTAAAATGCATCACTCTCATTCTGTAATTTCTCATTTGGATCACTCATACACATATACAGACTAAATCTATTTAGCATTACATTAATGCAGCAAATTCATTCATTCCTTAGACATAATCCATTTTATTTAATTTACAACACAAAAATAAAATCCTATTTAACATTTCTCTATAATCCTCTTTTCCCAATTCTTTCACTCTTGTTCTAATTACATCCTTCTAGATTTTAGACCATAATTATTAATCCTAAAAATGATTATTCCAATCAGAATCTGTATTTCTAGATAGAGGATGATCATTCTTATTTTGAGGAGGAGCTTTCTTAATATTTTCTATTTTAATATTATTGTAATTATCTTTATTTTTAATGATCACTTAAGTCCAATACTTTCTATTCAAAGGGAAATACCTTCAACAAGTAAATTATTTACCCCAACAACAATCTCCAAACTATTCCTCTCAATCTACTAGTTTAATTTGTGAATCCTTATTGGCACAACTTAATCAATCCATCTTCATCCACAATTTCATTTCTCAAAATATTTTATACATCCTTTATTAGCTATTAATTTTCATTTGAAATCCCTACAAGGTTTTAAGATAGACTTTCGATGTCAAAATCCTAGTTTTACATAAACTAATAAATAATTTTTAATAATATATAATTTATATCATTTTTCTTGATACATCGGATCAACTTAGTTTCTTGCAATAGGTTTTTATTCTTTATTCTACTGTTAGTACTGTGAATATTCATTTATCTTTTGTTGATTAGTGAATTAATTTTATTGATACAACATTTAAGAATTTGGACTATTAATTTGCTATTGTTGTTTTTATTATGATAAATTCTACTATTATTATTATTATTGATATTGTTATAAAGTATTTGGTAGATTGGGTTATTAAACATAATTCATAGTTTGACATTTTGTGCATCTGATTAAATTAGATACTAATTATATTTAAGGTATTACATCCAATTTGGTACATGACTGTAATTTTGCAAGAGCCACATTGAAAATATCCAAAATTAGGCTTATTAATTTGTTAGCATCTAAAGCACATAAAAGGTTATTTTTCATCTTAAATCATCTAGGGAGTTTTACAATATATGCAAGTTGAATACGCTTGTCTAATTGTTAAAATATTAATTACGTTTATTGATTTAAGCTCCTATCAATTAGGATTGCTGTTTATTGGAATATATTAGAAATAGGATTTATTATTTAGTTTTAAAGCTAAGAATATTATTGATTTTGATATGGAGTATATTGATATTAGCTATACTAATTCTATATTATGCAAAATTTAAATACTTAGTATTAGTTGATTGGCACTTGTTATTGTTACTAAAACTAAGGGTACTGAATTTATTACTGTGGTGGAAACTAGTTCTGTTGTTAAGACTATTATTATTTCTAATTATTTTAAAGTTCTGGTTAATTTTGATTGTTTTATTAAGGAGGAGTAATTGGTTATTAATTTTATGTTGGTTAAATAACATCAGCATGTTGTACTTCTAAGAAATAATAAATCATGTTTACTAGCTTCATCTAAAGAGACATATTCCTAATCATCTCCGTAATCCTAAATTTCAAAATCATCGATGTTCTACTTCGGTTCTTTATATTTAGCATTAGATTTATTGGATAACAATCCCAAATTTGCATCGTTTTAGTTCATCTAATATGATTATAAGAAAATTATTATATTATTATTTATTTAGAATATTTAGAAATATTCTAATAATCTGAACATATTCTATATTCAAAATAATATATCTTAAATTTTCATTTCAATCAAAGATTAAATTTAAAAGGACAATGTGAATTGTTTAAAAGTAAAACAAAAAACAAATTAAATTAAATTCAACATATTTCATTTTTGAAGTTTGTTTTCAATGTACAAAAGTCCTGATTAATTATATTTTTAGTATATAAGTAAGTCTTCATGTCTCTAAATAAGTTATAAATATGATTACTTAAATTATTTTATCTTAGATAGTATCACTAAATTTAAAATCAAGCATAATAAATTTTGATGCATATTTGATTACATCTATTAGATCAACTAGATTGAAACCAAAACTAAATTAAACAAATTCAGTAAATAACTTATTGAATGATTTCTAAGCTATTAATTAAATAAAGGATTACAATCAACAAGTATAAATTTACTATTCTTAGGAATTTCATAATATATTTATTCTTTAGTGAATTGTTAATATTCGATAGCCAAGATTAAATACATAAATGATGCTACTAAAGTTCTTGGTTTATAATTCAATGTTTAGATATCCAAATAACAACAATCAATATATGCCTGCAATTTTAATATTACTATCAATATAACTATAATCAATTACATTTATAAGAAGCTGTGTTATTAGCTCTGAATTTCTTTTAAATATCTTTGTTAAAATTATCCCATTAATTAGTATAGAATTCAATCCAAAGATTAATTGTAGGTAGATTCAAATGCCATTATAGTACAGTGCAAACATCTATCTCCATTTGATAAATTTAATCGATAGTATAACCATGATTAGCTGCTTTTTCAAATTCACTTACATGTTTTGCCTCTACTTCCTCAAATATAACAAATGAATTTACTTCCATTTTTGATGCAATAAGCATTGAGGCTGTACCCAATAATTATACATCTATTTTTGGTATGGACTTTTTAGATAAATAATTATCAACATATGCTACAGCTAAATAATAAGTATCTCTTTTCATATGATAAACAGAACAAACATCAATCATCCAATCCATTAATATGGCTCTGACTTTTGGATTTATTTGTGTTTGAATAGAAACCATATAATCAGGATTTGGAAAGTGTTCTATTTCTTATAACATAAGTGTTTATAAAGTTTCAGAAGAAAATCCACCAATTTATGAATCTTAATCATTTTAATTTTAAAGAAAAGTTTAATTCATTTAAATGTTTTTTGATTTGGTTGAGTTGACATTATCACTTAATATAGTTATGCTAGATTCATCACATTCTAGAGTTATTCCTAAATTTTTTTATTCTCCCATTGAAATGCATCGAGTATTTTTCTTATGTTTAAATAAATTATTATTTGGACTTTATTTTTTGATAGTTCTTTCACTTAATTAATTAGAGGAATTATCTTAAATTATAAATTTAGGAACATTTAATTTTTCTATTTTTTTATCTTCTCTTTAAGAATTGCAACTAGATATATATTATATTCATTATATACTTTTCATTATTAGAATAATAAGAATTAGAAGTATTGTTAAGAGTATTTTTATTTTAAGGGATATTCGAAATCATAAAATATGTCCCTGAATTACCTTAAACAACATGACTATATTGTCTATGGTTTTTTTTGAATTAAGTTTTATTATTGCTATCAATGGAATTATTTCTGGAGAGATTTTATTAATTGAGAAATGATTCAAAATTTACTTGAGGATTTTAATAATCTTTTCTTTCCCATACAGCTGAATCTTTTAAATTAATATCTTCATTCAGTTTTGGCTTATGTAAGGTTATTTTTAAACATGGTTAAGCAACTTTTGTTAAGGTTGAATTAGAAGTTTGTTAAGGAATATTTATTTAAAAAGGAATACAACTAGATTATTTTTTATTTCTTTTATATTTAACATCTTCAGGTTTTGGATTTGCCTAGTATGATAATCAATAATACTTAAATCTAAATTTTATTATTAAATAGTATAGATTTTGGATTTTGAGGCTATTTGGAATTCTCATCAAATCTTACAAAGGAAATATTCTAATTTGATTGTATGATTTACATTCAAGTATTGATAATTTTCTTTTGGTATAAAATAGGGATTCCATTAGGTAGTCATTTTCAAATTTAAATATAAAATATTGATTAAACATATAAATTAATACTAGTCAATGGGAAAATGGTTATAAATTTCTAATTGAAATTGAGCGTCTATCAGTAAATTTTTTATTTGAATGTGGAGAACCATCTAATTTGGAAGAAGCTTTCATTTCATCTTTACTTTCTTCTACATAATCAAAATCTTTGATTAATTCAGAAGTCTCTTCATTTAATCTTTAAGAAAATAACATTTATTCTTTATTAATTTTGTTGAGATTTTTAGCAGATATTTATTTCATGATAGGTTTAGGTATAAAAGATTTAATATTATAAGAAAGACTAGCAACTTATTCTCTTATTTTTGTCATTCTATCAGTATAAATTTATTGCTTTGTTTTGACATTTTAATTACTTGTTGATAATTATAATGGATTTGTTTGAAGATGATTAGATATATTTGCTTATCTTCTATTTCTATAAGCAATCATAGAATCGATTTCTAGAATCTAAAATTCAGCACTAAGAAATCCAGTTTCATTATAACCTCCAAAAATCATAAGTTTATGATCATCCACAACAGCACAATGACCTGCTCTACCTTCTTTTTATTCAAAATCAACAATACTCCAAGATTAAGTTTCAATTTTGAAAATATGACAATCATTTAAAAAAGTAGATGATTCACTTATGCCACCATATATAATAATAATTCCCTATCTATCACAATAAGAAGCAGAATGTTTATATCTAGAGACTAATATTATAATTTTAATTTATTTTACTTGGTAATTTTCCTTTTCCTGAAACTAAAGACCATTACATAGGACGTGTACAAGGATTTAACATATATAAACCAGAATATAAAGTTCCATTTTTTGATTCTCCACCAAACAAGTATACACCTTCTACTTTATATTTGATTTCTTTCATTTCTTCTGGATCCATATAGTTTTTATAAATTTGAATATTTCTTGAACTACTAAAAACAGATATAAGTGTATGAAAGGCAATTCCATTAGAAAAGAAATCATTCTATTCAACCTAACTTAAAATCATTTTATTGTTTTAAATATCATAGTGATATAAATCACTTAAATATTTTCCTTTAGTATTGATACCTGCATGGATAATAATATGCTTTCCTACAATAGCTCCAGATGCTCCCCTTCTCCCTTCAATTACTTCTCCTCCAAACCTTAATGCTTTGAATTCATTATTTTCTATTTCATATATTTATCAAAATACCTGTATTAAATACTCTAAAATCATTAGTGCTTTCTCTTATCCTCTATTAACCATCATAAGGTTTCTCACCTCCAAATATATAGATATTTCTTCTATAAACACAGTGAATATGATTGGTTCTACCAAAAGGAGCCTTCTCTCCAATTATTTAAGGTTGAAACCATTCCTTATGATCCCAAATAACAATATCATTAAAAAGTTGACTACTTATTCCTCCAAATAAATATAATTTTCCTGATATATTATTTAATGAAGCTCCTTCTCTCATTTAAGGTCTCCATTTTCCATAAAAAGAATCTATCCATCCTAAATAGTGAGTAGGTATTGTAAACTCTTCTTCAGGTTGTTAAACTTATATAACTTTTGCTTTTATTGCTGGCATAATTTATCCTTCTTCATCAATCTTGGCTGGATAAGTTTTTATTTTTGGTAACTTATTATGGTTATAAGATCTTGATCTAGCAAATGTTGTTCTCATAATATTTTGTTTTTATTATTCTTCTTAATACTTTAACTAAGTCTTATTATGATCCAATTAAAATGCAATCTATTCTTTT